TCAGAAACTCCAACCCAGTTCACAGTCTCGGCCAACACAGAATTTGAATACAAAATTCAATCAAACATACCATTATTCATACATGCAGGCATTCAAACAGAAATTCCAAACACAGAAAAGCATAATTAAATTACTAGCTTCCCTTACCTTGAATACACTCAACACTTCCTAAGCTTCCACCGTTTGGACTAACCAGCAACCACTTCTAAAGCAACCTTCTAAAATTTCTGATCAGTGAACAGGGACCAACCAGAGAATCAAAGACAAACAGATTCAGAGAGAGATAAATGAAGAACACATGCAAGCTGAACAATGCTTGCATGTATAAGAAAACGCATAACTTCAAAGAATGAGTGATTTTAACTTACCAACTTCACACAGCAGCTGGATTGATGGAAATAAAACTCTTGCCACCAAGAAAGAACTCAGACACAGCCTAGATGATGATCAAAAGGAGAAAAAAATGAGAGTTTTGTAGAGAGAAGAAGAAGAATTGTAGAGAGAAGGAGGAGAAACTCAGAATTCTGGAGAGAAGATGTGCATGCAAAAGTGACTCAATGTTGAAACTTTTGCTTATATACTACCGTAAAAAACCGCAGATACATACACCTGTCTTCTACTTTTTGAATTTTCTAAACCCTCACACTAACGCCTGGATTCCACTCAGCATGGATTTAATGGTTCTGACAAAATTCTCTCAAAATGTTTAATAATTAGTAATTAATGTAATAATAAATGTATGTAATTTATTTTTTATTTTAAATTTTTATTTATAAATTTTAAATGAATTTTTTATTAACATTAATTTAATTATGATCTAATCATAATCATAAGTAATTATACTTAAGTTAATTAGTATTAGAGATAGTCTGATATTAAAAAAATGTTTACAATATGATTTTAGCTGAATGATATTTTAACTAATATGTTTACGATTATCTCAAATTTAATGAAAAAAAATATTTACTATCGGGCACTCATTCTCGTTTTTAATATATCGATTTCTAGGATAAAAAACTTTGCCGTAAATAATTAAAAGAAATAAAACAAAATTTTCTACAAACTATGTACAAATTAAAATTAAATTTAGATAATTCATATAATAAATATTTTATATCCTTTATAAATTATTTAAATGTATATGTTAATTTTAGTTAAAGAAAAAAATTTCATATTTTATAAAGTTTTTGTCCTAAAAAAGGTTTTGATTAAATTTGAAAGAGATCCTAAATGTTGGTTGTTGTGATAACTGGTTTTCACTGCTCTAAAAGTAAAGAATTAAAAATTACTTTTATAGAGATGGTTTTTCAAAATACTTTGGAGAACTTTTTTAAATCAAATAGTTTAAATATAAAAATTACCACATTGATATTTTTGACGGAGAAGGCGAAGAATAGTTTTTCAGTCAGCTCTAAGTTGTTGCAGGTTATTACTTACTGCACCCCATCATAATTTTTTCAGCATCTATCACTCTGGACCAATTCCGAATTTTTTTTGGTTCAGTAATCTTCTCTTTCTATTACGATTTTTTTTCCGGAAAGCTTCGGATGGTGGATGAGAAATTTAATGGGGTGTAGGAAGTAATATCCATTGTTGCATTACTGTATGGATCAGTTCTGGGCTTAGTAGATGACAGGTTGGTACTGGACTTTGGGTGTTTCACCCTGTACCTCCAAGAATTTCGTCCTACACTTCCAAATTTTCAAATATTATGGATATACCCTCAATTAAAACTAATTAAAATGTTATTAAATTTTAATAAAATAAAAAGAATCTTTGACCATATTCTTTTAACAGTTTTCTCTTTCTTCAATCAAAATTTATATCTGCTGTTTCTCTTTCCGTTCTTATTTCTCCTCTCTTCATTAGCTTTTTTTTATTAGATTTTTTATGAACTTATTTTTTATGATGTAAAAAAATAAAATTTAATAAATCATTTAAAAATAAATTAAAAAAAATTTATAATTTGAAAGACTTAATAAATCATTAAATTTTCATAAATATTAAATTAAAAATTTCAAAAAGTCATGTTTAAGCCTTTATAATTGATTCAAAAGCCTTTAAAATTTAATAAATATTGAATTAAAAATTTGGAAAGCCATCTCAATGATTTTTGTATAAAAGATTCAAAATCCAATACTATCAAATCAATTAAAAAAATTATAACTTCAAAAACTTAATAACTCATTAAAATTTAATAAATATTGAATTACAAAAGCCATGATTCATTTTAAAAAAATTCATTCATCCATTATTATTATAAACGTTTCATAATGTATATAAAACTAAAATTCAGAATCCATGATTTCATTATTATTACCTCACAATATATATAAAACTATATTTTTGATAAGAAATGTATACAAAAGAAAAGTTTAAGAAAATTATGCTCGGATGTTGAGATCCGAATTTAACAAAATCATATATCGGATATTGATATCCGAAGTTGAGCTTTTCAGAGTTTAAATGTGGAAATCCAATTTCATCTTTATAGAATATTATCAAAATTTGATTATAAAATTACATTTGATAAAAGTTTCACTCTACTTTATTTAATCATCTACACTTTTATCAAATGCAATATAAAAAAAACCATGCATTAAAAAACTGCAAACATTAATAAAGCAACGTAGCATAAAAAAAAGCAATGCAGCAAACATATACACATCGGATTTATACATTCCATTTTTCATTAATTGGATATCTACGTCCGATCACTCTATTCTAGGATTTTCATATCCGAGTACATATTTTCACAGTTTTATTTTTTCTAAAATATTTATATTAAATTTAAAAAATTCATAAAAATATTTTTTAACAATTAAAATTTATCTAATTAAATTATAAATTTATAAAAATTATATATAAATTTAAATATAATTATAAACTAATGAAATAATTAAATAAGTAATACAATTAAACTTTTACAAAACAACATCAGATCTTTATATCTGATTGTTTGTTTGATCGGATATCAACATCCGATAACTTCTCATTCAATACATCTTTAGAATTTTATTTTTTCTAAAATATTTTCATTAAGCAACACAAGATATTATCAGGGTGTCATAGGGTGTCGGAACTTTTAATTACTAGTGTAGAAAAGACTTTAGACGTTTGTTATTTTGGGCTTTTTACGTCTGATCTCGACCTGACGTCCACTCGAGTGACGTTGATGGGAAGTTGTACCCCAGTCAAATGTCTATATATATGTCTAACCTGTACAGATCAAACGTCGGACCTAAACAGATTAGACATCTAAAATGTCTTCGTATTTGATTGGATCTTTCTCTGCTTGAGGCCTCTCGGGTTGCTCTTGGCTCATGGTGATTCGATTTTACAACTTTATATTTTACATGAAGAGAATGAATTGTACGTTTTTTTTTTGTATTGGATGATTTTAAAAACGTATTGGAGAGAATTGGAGGAGTGCAAAACGCAAGAAATCGCCGCCCAAGAACGCTGCCCAAGGACACGAGAAAAACTGCACCAAAACCCAACGAAAACGCATTTTAATAGGTTCAAATAAAAGATAATTCATCAAAGAGTAATGTAATCGGAGTAAAATTAATTTAAAACGGTGCAAAAGTGAGAGAACCTAAAAAAACGTAGCCCGTGGAGAGAAAACGCGTGGAAGATAATGAACAGCGAGTGCGCGTAACGGCTGCCTCACGTTCACAGTGTTTTAATGCAGACATTTAGAAATCGGTTCCCCCAATAACAGACGTCTAAGTCGGAGTGGCAGGATCAGACGTATAAATGAAGTCAAAAAGTGACTTTTTAAATTTTTGGGCTGAGTATTTTGAAGTCGATTCCCCTATAACAAACTTCTAAATGACTTTAGAAGTCGGAGTGACGGGATCACACGTCTAAATGAAGTCAAAAAGTGACTTTTTAAATTTCTCGATTGAGTATTTAGAAGTCGGTTCCCCCCATAACAGACGTCTAAATGACTTTAGAAGTCGGAGTGGCAGGATCAGACGTCTAAATGGAGTCAAAAAGTGATTTTTTTAATTTCTGGGCTGAGTATTTAGAAGTCGGTTTCCCCAATAACAAACGTTTAAATGACTTTAGAAGTCGGAGTGGCGGGATCAAACATATAAATGGAGTCAAAAAGTGATTTTTTAAATTTATAGGCTGAGTATTTATAAGTCAGATCCCCCATGAGAGACGTCTAAATGACTTTAGAAGTCGAAGCCCGAACCCCATAACACACCTATTATTATTATTATTATATTATATTATTATTAAATAATTTTTCGTGTTAGAATAGATTATTAATTTTTAAGTACCATTAAATTTGTTGATTTTTTCGTATTTTTTATATTGTTCCCATCTTAAATACGAATATTCATGATGGTGATAAATATATGAAAATTATTTAAGAACATTAAAAGGGTCCATGAGATTAAAATCCAGTAATTTTTTAGTTTGTGGTTAAATTATTAATTATTAATTAAAATTATTATTATTAGTATGATTAGTAATTAATAATATATAATATATAATATATAAATTATAAATAAATAAATAAATATATAAAAGAATGTCTCTTTTAAACACATATTGTCACATGTTAACACCATAATAACCATATATTTTAATTAAAAGTAAAATGAATTTTTTATTGTAACTTATTATATTATTAATTAAAATTCAGTTATTATTAAGTTTTGCTTAAGTTATTATTAGTATAATTAATAATTAATAATATATAAATTAATTAAATTAATAATTTATAAAAGAATTTTTTTTAATTTTTTTTATAAATTAATAGTGTCAAATGTAGAATGTGTTTAAATTTATTTTTGAATTAATTTTGATAACTTTAGTTATCGTTTGATATTGAAATTATAGTATGTGTAGGTGACATGTGAACATTTGCCATGTAAACTTAATCATTAAAGCGTAATCCTAAATCTCCCTATCAGATATCAGAATCTATGTACCTTATCTTCTTCTACTGTTCCACTCTTGAACATTTTACTTTATTTTTTCACCCCCAACAGATCTTTCTTTTGTCTCCTTCCACACTCTTCATTCCTGGGATGGTGATGGCTTCCACACTCACTTTCCAAACACTTTCAATTCTTCCTAACAAGCCACACCATCATCATTCAACAAAACTTCATCCACTTCCTCCGATCTCTTCAAGATTCAATCTTTCAAAAGATCCTCCCATTCTCAACACACAAAAAATATTGGATCAATCCAGCAATGTTCTCAAAACTGCCTCTCTTTCCCTCACATCACTCGCACTCCCCTTCTTGTTAGACCAAAAGGCAAGGAATATGCCCCCAGTTGTTTTTCTTGTCAAAAGGGTTATTCTGTGTCTCACTTTGTGGCATGATTGTTGTTGAGACAGGATGTAGCACTTGCTGTTGATGGGGAGTTTGGTGTATTTGAGGGAAGAACGTTTGCTCTCATACACCCCATTGTCATGGCTTCTTTGTTCTTGTATACCTTGTGGGCAGGATATTTGGGGTGGCAATGGAGGAGAGTCAGGACTATTCAGAATGAGATTAATGACCTCAAGAAACAACTCAAACCTACACCAGTCACTGCAGAAGGTACACCACTAGAAGTGCCACCATCTCAAATTCAACTCAAAATTCAGCAACTCACTGAGGTATATATATCCTTGCCTTTCTTCTCATTGTTATCTTTCTACTTTCATTGGTTTTCCCAATTTCATTAGCTGGGAAATTTGCTCCTTGTATTTCTTGTTTTCAATCTTTTACAAACTCTTAGGTTTGTAACCATTTGTTGTTTTAGTTTTGGTATGGAAGAACTGAATCTGATTCAAACACTTGAAAAAATTGGTGATTTATGAGGAGAACCTAATTCATTGGCTTATGAAATTCAGGAGAGGAAAGAGCTAATCAAAGGCTCTTACAGGGATAGGCACTATAATGCAGGATCCATACTTCTTGGATTTGGGGTGCTTGAAGCTGTTGGTGGAGGATTGAACACGTGGATCAGGACAGGAAAGTTATTCCCAGGTCCACATCTGTTTGGAGGAGCAGGTAAAGATTTAAATTTGCAATTGATGATGAAATTGATCAAAGAGGGTAAGAATTTAAGAGGGAAAAACTGGAATTGGAAGATTTTGACAGAAATGTTAGCTTTCTTAATGCATTTGGTAAAAATAGTAAGTTATCTGAGATGGTTAAACATGCATCTTTCCACCTAAGAAATGAATGTGAATGGTATGTATGGAAAATGATTGTTAATTTGTTAGTGTTATGGGCAAATTTGTGAGCAGGAATTACAGTGTTATGGGCACTTGCAGCAGCTTTGGTACCACCAATGCAGAGAGGGAATGAAACAGCTAGAAGTCTTCACATTGCGTTGAATACGTTAAACGTGCTTCTGTTTGTGTCTCAACTTCCCACAGGATTTGACATTTTACTGAAAGTGTTTGAGTTCACAAAATGGCCTTGAATTGAATGTTCTCCATCTTGCAATCACCCCAAATCCATATTTTATAATTACACTTTTTTTTTTATCAAAGTGCAAATGTGTGTTTAATCAAAGTGAAGGAGTGTCATTGTTAATAATTGAGAAATCTTAGAGTAGTGAAATTCAGATTCAAACAATATATTATGTAAATGTAAATCGTTTTATGTATGTCGATGATATGGTTATGGAGCTATGTTGTATACTGTAATAACCTTATCTTCATTTACATCTTTAAACTTTTTCTGTTGTAATATAGTAATGGAGCTATGTTCACTAGTACAAAATGCGGAAAAGAATTCGGGTAATATGTCTCGGTTTTTAAAAAACCGAAGTATATATGAAGACGGTGGTATTTTTCTAATTTAAACAAACTTATAAACATCGGTTTTCCTTGAACCGAGGCATAAAGGTCAAATTATCTCGGTTAGTGGCCAAACTGAGACGTAATGTTATACTTTTTTTCACCAAACTCTGGCAACTTTTTGAATATGACCTACAACATCAGTTTTAATTAGACCCGATGCAGTAGAGAAACATACGGGAGCCTTTTAGGCCTCGGTTTCACCCAGACCCGAGGCCTATTTGGTTTTTTATCTTCAAGAAATTACTCTACTCTACAATGTTCTCTTGTTCTTCCTTTGCTCCCACGAACTCCTTCGCTACATCCTTTGCAGTGTTCTCAGTTCGTCTTCGTCTATATTCTTTCTTCAAAGAACTTTATTTCTCTTTAACCACATCTTGCGCCTCAAGGTTTTTCTTCTTCTTCACCGAATCATTATCGTCTTCTTTACCTTGCGCGTCTCCTCCAACATCAAACCTCATACTTTGTTAGGGTTTCTCTTCCATTTCGCCTTTCCCTTTGTTTTCATCGATTAAAATCCATTTTCCACCTTTTCCACCAATTAAACACCATTCTACCGATTGATTCTTCGATTAACGTCATTCTCACCGTTCAATCTCCATTTCACACCGATTAATCGGTTCATTTTATGTTTTCCCCCTTTTCTAGGGTTCCAACGGTCTATTTTAGGTTTCTTCGTGTTTCTAGGGGTCTGAATCAAGCAAGGAAGTTGAGGAATGAGTGAAGAGAAAGATTGAATATTGAGATCCTGGCGGTGTTCTTCTCCTCTCTGCCCTAAAATGAAGCACTTCATGCTCCCAAGAAACCCTCTCAAGGAAGAAGAACTCGCTTATGCGGCCACCATTGTCGCCATCGTCGGTTCTGCCATCCAACCACTGCTTCGCTGCCGCGCCTCCCTGTTTTTGCCTCGCCGTTGCTCCCTCCCTGCTGCGTTCACAACTTCCGTCGTTGCCTCCCTTTTGCTGCCTCGTCGTCGAGGGAACGGGGCTCGATCCACTGGACCCCGGTGTGGAACTGGAAGGCTTTTTACTCGTTCGTGTGCGCTTGCTAGTAGGTGACTGAGTACTCTCACATGGTGGGGTAGAGGGCTGAGAACTCGCACATGGAGGAGGTGACTGTGGCAAGGGTTTTCTTGTCTTCCTGTTGATAATTTTTTGGGGTTTCTTAATACGATGGTAGAGTCGAGGTTTTCTGAGGTCTGAGAATGGAGAGTTGTGTGTTGGGATTCGGAGGGCAAAGAAGGGAATCTGGTTTGAGGTGTGGAACTCTGCTTCTGGTTCAGGGTCTGGAAGTATCGGTGGAAGTGGTAATTGTGGGATTGGTCCTTATGGGCCTTTTTCTTTTTTCTTGAGAGAGGAGAACAATAGCTTAAGGAATGGTGGCTGCTGTGGTGGTGGTGGGAATTTGAGTGGCAGGGCCAAAGTGAGGCCTGAGGCTGTTGTTGAAGCAGTGAACATGGCTGCTGCTAACAAACCTTTTGAGGTTGTTTATTATCCAAGAGCCAGTACTCCTGAGTTTTGCATTAAGGCTTCTTTTGTAAGGGCTGCTATGAGAATTCAGTGGTGTTCTGGGATGAGGTTCAAGATGGCCTTTGAGACTGAGGATGCTTCCAGAATAAGCTGGTTCATGGGAACCATTGCTTTTGTTCAGACTCTTATGTGACTGTTTTTTTTTTTCTTTTTATTGCTTGGTATGTGACTGTGTGTGATTGTAAGCAAATATGTTTGGTTCTGATGTTAATCCACCTATAACATTCTGTGTTTTCGCATGAGATTTCTCATGGACGTTCCTAGGCTTAAATTGCAGTTACTTAGTATGCCTATGGAGGCAATCTGGAAACATAAGTTGTGTTCCTTGAAGGTGTGTTTCCCTACTATAGTAGTGGAATTTCTCATATGATGGCTTCTGGAATTGATTAACACTGGAATTGATCAACAGAGAGAATTTGGCAGTTTATTTTATTAACAGGCAGCAATGAATTTGGTTTTGACCTTAGGAAGAGCAGACACTGATTTTGGTGATGAGACAAAAGGGACTGGAAACACCATAAGCCTAGGGGAATATACTGCCTCGGTTCCCCTGAACCGAGGCATAAAGTCTTACAGAAAAGAAAAATTAAAAAAAACAAAAACTTTACTGCTTCGGTTAATGTTGAACCGAGGCGAAATCCTGTCATTTTATGCCTCGGTTCTCAACCGAGACCAAAAGTAGCAGACTTTTCGCCTCGTCTGGATATGCCTCGGTTCGGGAACCGTTGCCTATAGACAAAAATAACCGTTGTCGTTTCTCCTGTCTGTACTAGTGGTTGTATGGTAATTTTGTCTCCTCATCTTCGTCTACAATTTTTTTTCTTATAATTCGAAAAAATACAAATAATTTGGAGTTATTGATGTTATAAATTCCAAATGAATTAAACGTTTTATATTGAGTAAAAATGAGGAACATGAATAATATATAAGTAAAAGATTCTTAAGTTTTTTATTTTTTATATAATTTGTGTACAAATTATTGGTGCCAAATTCTCATTATTGTCTCCTCTTGAAACACTTCCGTGAAACTTAGAAAGTGATCAACTTTGATAGATGGTTAAGCATTAAGAGTTAATTTTATATTATTGTTGTAAAACCTGCAAAACTAACCGTAAGTGCATTGATTACAGTGTAATAATTGATAAACATGGTTATATCTCAATGAACTTGAACTTATGTAACACTCAACAATTTTTATAGTTAATAACTCAATTGGATTACATAGTTTACAAAAATACAAAAAACATTTTTGTTGTTTTTATCAAACAATTGGTGTGCAAGGAAATGTAATATAGATTATTTACAATTTATTAACATTAGAGTTCACATGCTTCATTTTCATACATTAACAAACATCTAAAATCTATATTCATATCGAAATCAACTCATAATTATACTTAGATACCTTTGAATCTATAATCACTCATCAAGTTTCAATCCCTTAAATCCTCAACTAACAATTATAAATTAATTTTAAGAGTCTAATATTACTAATGAGTCAAGTTCTATTCCTAGATACAAACATTCATTAGATGTTCAATTTCAGTTCTAGGTTCAAGTCATGTTTCCCAATACATCAACAATCATAAATTGAATATTAACATAAATTGAAAAAACATATATTATTAACAGCAGAATATATAACACAAGAGTTTCATGTTTTACAACTAATGTCAACAAATAAGAATAGCCCTCAACGGTAGATAACTTAGAGTTCTACAAATTGAAAAGATAGCAAATAAATGAAACCAAAGAAAAGATGCAAGCCCTCTCCCACGGTTCTTGATAGCTATTCCATGCTTCAATTGTGTCTTCCATTCACATAAACACATGTAATTCGTAGGCTCACTTCCTCTTCAACCCAAAGCGAAAAAACCATCATGGATGAAGGAGTTAGCCCAATAAGGAAGGAAGAGCTTATGAGCACCCCAAGTAACCTTCAAGAGTCTCTTCCAAACATACTATGTAATTCTATTAATGTAAAAATAAAGAATCCAGAAAACCTTCGCAAAAACATGATTAAATACTTACTTTCATGTATCAACAGACTCACTCAACGACTTCATTCTCACTTAGTGATGCCTAAAAATTGATGTTCTTTGACTTGTAACTCGTTGGACCAACCATATTTTCACCCAATGACTCAAATATTGTAGGTTAGGATTGTTATTTTCATCTAACAAGAAACTAACTCGCCTAACCACTCAACATGACATTTAATGGTGGATTTTCAATCGTTCGGAGCAGTCCATAGCAGTATAACCCTACAAGTGAATCTTATCTTCATGTTTGTAGTTCCGGGTGCGATTCTAGGGCTCTTAAAGTGAATATTTGTCTAAAAATAATTCCTTTTGTCCAATCATACTTCCTTGAGTTGTAGCTTGTTTTCCTCTATCATAATTGTTTCATATTTTCTTATTTTACACACTCAGAGAAATTAGAGATAAAATAAATATATATGAACTAAAACACAAGAAAAAAAATACATTAAACTTGAACACAAAATAAGATAAAAATTATGAAAGGGTTTATTTATTCATGAAAATATACATACCATAAAATCAAACATTATCACACCTACTTTTAGAAAGAATGATGATAAATATACACCACTAAAATCTCATACACCAACTTGACCGTACCTATTGAATTTTACCAAAACTTTAGCAATGGTTTAAAATCTCATACACCAACTTCGACACTATCTATTTAATTTAACCAAAACTTTAGCAATGGTTTAATCAAGGTGTAGTGGTCTTGAAAAAAAATAAAATATCATGTGTTTCCATCATAATGAAGTGATAATTGATTTTGGAAAATTTTACATGTACTTCTTTTAATTTTTCTACACCAAACCAACACTAACTAAAAAAATAATATTTTCTACTTTTCTAGTTAATTCATCATAAATCATTTTATATTTTAACATAAAAGTGTTATTTTATCAGAGTTAGATGAATTTAGAGGGAAAGATGGGGTGTTTGTGTTTTTTTTTGTCATGACAAGGTTGGTGATAGTTATCAAGGTTTAACAAGGTCTTCAATGGTTATGTAATGTTTAATTGCATTGTAATTGCTATATTAGTTCAAATATAAAGTTAACCAATAATTATATTAATTTAATTAATACGTTGCACTAGTTTTATCAACACGTGAACATGTAGAATAGGTATATCTATATTCATAATTTTTTTAAAGAAATTACCGTAATTGCTATGTTCTAAATTTAAGGACTACTGTCACAAACATTTTAAGGATCAAAATGGTCTATTTATTTTTATGTAACTAGTTTTTTTCTTCATGAATCTTTCAGAAAAACAGTTAGTTACAAGGTGTGAGGAACTCTTCGAGAAGGAAATTATCGACTTTCAAATGTGTGAAAGTATAAATGCAATGCAAGCATACTTTTTAGGTGTGAATTCTCAGATAGGGTAAAGATTCTCATGAAAAGTTTCAAGCTTCAACACTCAACGGTTATTTCTGTGTTTTCATCAACATTATTTCTAATATTATATATAAACAGTATATATGCAAAGTTTCTATCGAATAAATGACTACCATAGTCAACCGTATATAAAATGAAAAAAAGTCAAACCTTTATCATAAAATATGTTTTATACATTGAAAATAATTCTCACTTAGAAAAATGAGTGAAGTGTTACATTAAAAATAATAAAAATAACTATTTGTTACCTTTTCTCGGACACGCACAACGGTTGACATTTTTGTGTTGCAGAAATGGGATATACTGGGAAGTTGGGCATGGATGCATCTTGAAAAGGAACGAATAGAACTGAGCTAAGCTAACATTAACTTTAATATTTTCACTTTTGTCGATGTCATCATGTTAATAAAAAATATTATTTTGATGTCTTGCGCTTTTGGCAATTGCAACTTTAATTTTTTATGCTTTAAAATTTGTCCGTTGGTTTTTTAGTTTTTTTAAAGTATTTAAAATAGTTTTTGTCTTTTCCATTTTTATTTAAAATTTCCATCTTTTTTATTTTTCTTGCTTTTATTCATGCTACATTTCACAAATTTACATATTCATATCCTTTAAGTGTGTTTCAGTAGTTGAAATGTTAATGTCGTACTCACAATTGTAATAAATAACGAACAATTATAATGTTTGTAAATCCATTGTTTTAAAGTTTTTCTTTCATATTTTTCTCCCACTCCATTTTTCATCTAAACTTCCAAGTGCTACATGGATGTGACAAGTATGGAAGGATTTGGAGCTTTAGGTATTGGGAGTCTCAGAAATTTGGAGTTTTATAATTTTTAAATTGAACGGTTCTAAATTGTGTAGTGTTGGTGGCAAATCGAATCGGGAATAAGCATAGAATCAAAATATGTTTAAGAGAATCAAGATACAAATATAGTTTGGATCATGTCATGTTATTGTCAGATGTAAAAAACAAAAACAAAATAATACTGTATTATTTATTTTTTTTAAAAAATTAAATATATTTTTAATTTTTAAATTTGGATATAAAATTAAAACTCATCTAGGTTTTAAATTTTAAAACATTTAGTTCCTAAACTTAAAAAATAAAAATATATAACTTTTTTAATATAATAATGTCAATTTTTTTTTTATATTGAAGGGTATTTAAACTGTTTACTCTATTTTGATACACTCCAATATCAACACATTTAACATATAAAAACAATTAATATCTTTAAGTTAAAATATTATATGTTATATTACAGTTTATACATAAACGAATTCTAGTTTTATTTCTAAATAAAAAGGATTAAAAATATATTTAATGTTCTTTTTTAGACTTTGAAATGGTTTATATCAATTAGTCTTTATAAATGTTTTTTCTATCTTAAATTCTTCGTACCTTATGCAACATAATAATGCAAATAAGTTCTTAAACTCGGTTAAGGAATCTCATCTAGACATCAGAAACCGTGTCCTTTGTATCAGCCTACTTTTACTGCATTTTTCATACATGCAAAATAAATGCAATGTAAGTAATAGGAACCATCACTAACCTTCTTATAAAACCCTTATATCAAGGTATAGTGATGTTGTAGACTTTTGAGACTAAAAAATGGTGAAAGAGTGATTCCAAAAGGCAAAACCAGTGTTTGTCAGCTGGAAGAAGCAAAAGTCAATAGAATCTAATGCTTTCACATTTTCTGTCATTCCAGGTTGGTTAGCTGTTAATAGGTACAGTAACAAAAATCCATCGTCTATAAATAGAGCATTTTATGGCTCATACATTTTCATACTCAAACCATAGAAGCTTCCACCACAGGCTTCAGTTCATCATTTCCATGGCTAACCCAATTCTGATTCGTCCATGGTCTCGCTTGGCCTCTTTGCGCTCTCCTTCTGCTGCAGAGTCACAGCCAAAACCTCAGCTTCCACAACCTTCTCTCCAAACAACAAACACCAATGCCACTGTCACCAAATCCCTACCAACAACACCAGTTCGCTCACAAAACCTCAAATCTACTACCCCTATGATCTTTCCACCTGCCAAATTCAAGGTTCACCCTCAACCGGTGGTAGAACTCACCATTGAAAAGCCTGATGGCAAGGACAATGCTTCGGTGAAGCATGAATCAGAAGAAACTAAAAACCAGAACCATGTCATCGACCCAACTGAAACCAAAGGGAAAGGTATTCACACAAAGCTCTCAGAGGGTCGTGGCGTAAGGGTCGTAACCATTTCAGGGGAAAACAGAGGTGCTTACATGCAAATAGCACGACCCCACAAGAAACAGCCCATTCACAAGACGGGGAATTCTGACGGTGAGAAAGTGAGAACAGTATCTTCTCCTCCAAACGGAGCTCTGTATGGGAACAGCAACGTGCAGTGTGTCAACAACTCAATGCTGTTCAACGCTAGTTTGAGCCACCACGAACCAGGAGTGCACCTTGTTACCAAAAAAGCCATTTGGTAAAGGATTTCTTCTCAAGGAACGTGGTGAAGTTCCATGCAGTTGATTTGAAGGCACTGTTTTAAGCTTGTTATTTTTTGTTTTAATGCTTGTTATGGTGTGGTTGATATGTAATACAGAAAAAAATATAGTGAAAATATTAAGCGTAAGTTAGCAATGTCAGTTTGAGATTCATGATGTTGTAACTCTAGTTTTCCCCGAAATAAAGGTCCTCCATTGATGTATAAAAAGAGTCTTCAAAGTTGGTATATTATGAGGTGATTATAATATGTTGTGTTGAGTGAAGAATAAAAGAGACACCTTACTGTAACAGAGCTTTGCTTATATATATAGGATCAGTTTTTTTTATTATAAATCATCTTCACTGTATTTGGAGCTCATTTTCCATATTACAAAAATGTCTATATTCCTAATTAAACAAGGACTGTGATAATGTAAAAACTTTTTTTAACAACTTGATAATATATTAAGTGTTCCTAGATTGTATAAAAAAAACTATGATATGAAATTTTTTTAATAATTTTTTGACCATATGGCAAAATAATTTTCAAAAAATTGTTAAAAAAATATTTTTCATAAACAAAATTGTCAGAAGAATATTGTTTTAAATTTTTTTCATGAAATAAAGATAGCTTTTTGAGCTAATCATAGGAAGAATTAGTACCTCTGGGAACCACAAAGCTCTGAAAATCAAATGAAGCAAAGACCGAAAATTACATTGTTTAAAAGGGAAATGGTCTTTTAAAATTAAAATTAGGTTGTAGATGTAAGGATGAAAACTTTAACCATAAAACAAGTGATAAACTTATAATGGTAAATCATATTTAATTATTGTTTAGGATTATATATTTGAAATTATTAATATTATTATTATTATAAAAAAATTATCTGTATGATATTAAATATTAATGTACAATCCACCAAATATTTAATATATATGAAGAAAAGAATTTTAATTATCAAATCCTGAACTCATCATATATTAAGTTATTTAAAAATATATTTAAGGTATTATTATTGCAAAATTTTAAAACATTTAGTATTTAATATTATCACGTGAATGTTGAAAATGTTTTAGTGAGATAGACTTGAACGGTTTCCACCACCCATATCAACACACTTTCACTAACTTAAAGTTCAATTTTCTTTTTTCTGGGATAAAAGATTAATCAGATATATCATATATGAGTTATTATAAGAGATATAACACTACTTTTAACGTAGAACTCTAGAATTTAATATTTATAAATTGTTATTTTTTTATATATTAATCAATTTTTTCACTTTTATTCAATATGAAAATTTTCATTTTAATTAAATTTCTAATAATAAAAAAATATAGTAATTAATTGACTCATATTGGCTCCTTTCTTTTCTTCATTTTGGCCCAAATTAAAAGTTAATCACTTTTACTTTTATTCCAACAAATATCTTAGATATATGCATTTTGAGACTAAACAGAAAGGATTTCCATCAAAAACTTCTGTTTCCATTTCCACCTAGCTAGTATTTTAATGGAAAATCTAGCTGCTAATGTAACGTATGCGTAATGTAATATAATATTAATGGCAAGCAAAATTACAAGATAAGATTACTGATAAACGGTGTATGAAGAAGAACAACTAGAAAAAAAAATGTTCACACATTTAAGTCAAAAGCATCTTTATCCTCAAGTTCTGATCAATGGTCCTTTGTTTTTTATCAACAAAATAGTTATATATATTTAACATAATCTTTGAGATATCCAAATCCTTAATACAAGAAAATATACATGTCTCTAAAACCTCAGCTGCTGTCTTAACATTCTCTAACTGTTAGATATCATAATGCTTTCAGTTCTCTTGTCCAAATAAGAAATTTTTTACAAACCCTTTTTTCTTTTTGGGTAAGATAAATTTGGTTAGCCGAAACTTTAATATTGTCTATCTTCACTTCTTGTTCTTTTTACTTTCACTGGCTTGATTTTTATAATTGACAGTTACCATGCACGATTGAAAATCTTGAGTGCATGAATGAGTTTATTTGAATGCATGATGGAGCTGCTCTATGCACAGTAAATTTAGCATAATTACCGTACACCATACTAATGATGAGAAAAGGAAAAAAAAAACAATAACAACTTAACAAAGAGGAATAACACAACATAAATGCAATTTTTCTTCCCGTGAGAATATGCGAAAAACACCAAAAACAAATAGAGTAAAAATAAAATCTAAAGAAAAATTCATGACTCGTGCAGACTAAAGAAAAATTCACTATAATGAATAATACTTTACAAAAAAAGTCTCTAATAAAAACATCAAATAATGTTTTCAATCAGTTAAAGTAACTTAGCATGAATACTTACAAATGAGAACAAAGAAAATGAAATTTTTTTAAAATAGAGTCACTCATGTGAGACTTTTTTCTCCACTGTCCAAAAATCAACCCAATTCAACAACGAATGACTTCTCAACAACGAAAACACTAGTGTAGACTTTATATTATGTGGGAAAAACTTTTTCTCTTTCTTTCTTACTTGGTTTCTCTCTTTTCAAATGATTCTAACGTGTTTTACTAGTCTAATATTTTTCGACTAAAGCAAAGTGAGACATGATGGTTTACATTATTTAAATCTATTTTTAGTATAGAAAGAGAATCCAATAACTAAAAAAAAAAGACAACATTCCGCAATTTATAAGATTTTCGGCGGCTGAAATGTCAAAAAAGATACACTTAATCATGAAAAGCAATATTCCATTTCATACCAGGAATCTAAATCTAGACACCTTATATATATGCCACATGATCTTTAATTCATATCTCGAGTTGACGTGTAGTTTCCATTACATTCCATCACGTCGAACCATATATATACTTATTAAATATGACTAAATATTAATAATGATCTAAATAATAATGATAAAATGATAAACCTAATAAATAATAAATTATTAGAATAAATTTTTGAATAATTCTGATATTAATAATAAAAAAAGTAGATTTTAAATTTAATCCAATCTTATACGCTAGTTTGGAAATTAAAATTAACCTAAACTTAGGACTTTGATGAACATTGTGTGAGCTGGAAGTGCCAAATTAATATGCTATTCGAATCTAATGCTTTTTAACTTCTTTCTATCATTCCCTTTTTCTTTCTTAATAGGTATTTTTCGCATGGTCTAGTAAATATAAAACCTCCTCATTAGTAACATTTCTCTGCAATCAAGTCGAGCTATCCCAAAAGCAATGGAAAATCCAATTCCAATTCGTCCATGGTCTCGCTTGGCCTCTGTAACAATTCCCCCTCCTGCACCAAAAACACTTCTCGAAACTCAACATGCAGAACTTTCTCTCAAATCAGTTAACACTTCCTCACATGATGGCAATGAAAGTACTACCAAATCTCGACGACCAACACCAGATGTTCATTGTCCAACAATTCAGTCAGAAAAGCTCAAACTCACTACTCCCATTTCCTTTCCTCCGTCCAAACTGAAGGGTCAGGTTCAGCTTGAGAAGAAGCCTACTGGAAACGGATATGGCAGTGTTTCGTGGAAGAAGGAATATGGAGAAACTCAAAAGCAAGGCATTGACGAAATGAAAGAGAAAGGTATTTGGGGTTCTGGGGGCCGAGGCATCATTAGGGTTGTAACAACTTCAGGGGAAAGCAAAGGTGCTCACATTCAAAATAAACCCTTTAACAAGATGGGAAATTCCAGTGGTGAGGATGTGAATGGAAAAATGAAGAACAAGAGTGGGAAATTAACGATACCATGTTCATCTCCATTGCGAGTTCTGTATGCCAACAGCAATGTGCAGTGTGTCAATAACTCAATAGTGCTGAACACGAGTTTGACTCACCATGATCCAGGAGTCCATCTTTTTATCCCAAAGAAGCCATTTTCTTAAGGATTCCAAGGTGGCTGGCGCTTAACTTAGTTCATCTATGTTTCAGGCTTGTGTAGTAGGAAGAATAGAAAGAAACTCATTCTTGCAGAAAATATGAAAATGTCACATTGAAAAGCATTACAACCTTAATTAGAAGGTTCTTGTTTGTATTCTTAGGGTTGAACCAAGAATAATATTATTAGTTTGGAGCATAGTAATTAAAAAAAAATGCTAATAAGTATATTCAAATAAAAAAGACTAATAGCAGTGTTTAATTTAGTATATATATTAGACAAAAATATTTAATACTTTTAAAACGAACTAGAGATATTTAATGGGAAATAATATTATACGAAAACATTGTATCTAATAGCAGTAGTATTATTTTATAGGAG